ACACTGGTCCTGCTCTCGGGCATCCTGATCATCTGCCGCCGCTGCTGCGAGGCCGACCGCCGGCACTCCAGGTGGGCAAGGGGTGACGCCACCGTCCCCGGGGTGTGTGGCACCGCGAGGAGGGTCGGGGGCGGGGGGGGCTGGCCCGGGCACCTCTGACCCTCCTCCCCCTGCAGAGCCAGCGATGACCCCGAGAAAACCAACACCACTTACCTGGATGACTCGCAGCAGGCGCAGGGTGAGTGACCCGCGCTGACCGCCCCCAGCTGCATCCCAGGTTCTGGGGAGGGGGGTGAGGCAGCTCCTGGTCCCTCCCCTCCCAATGTGCAGCCCCATGACAGTGACAACCACACACCCCTTGTGCCCCCCATTGTCCATCCCTGGCTGTGGCGCGGGACTGGCAGCAGGGAATTCCGGGTTGGCATTGAGGCCGTGAGGGCAGCAAGTTTGCCAAGCCTCAGCTGGGGAAGCTGGGGAACACCACGGTGGCGGGGGGGGGACACTGCTGACCCCCTTCTCTGCAGATATCACTGGCAAAGCAGAGGACCCCGAGTGCCTGTCGTCCTCCAGCTACCGGGATGCGGAGAGCGAGCGGTTCCTGTCCTCCAGCTCCTCCACTGCCCGGCGCGTCTCCTTCAACGAGGCCGCGCTCTTTGACCAGGGCAAGAAGTCCCAGGAGAAGGGGAGGAGGTGAAGCTCTGAGCTGAGTGGGGGACAGGGGGTTGGGGCTTCCCCTCCTGACCCAGCTGTCCCACAGGTACACACTGACAGAGGGGGACTTCCACCACCTGAAGAACGCCCGCCTGACTCACCTGCACCTCCCGCCGCCTGCCCTCAAGATTGTCACCATCCACGAGTGTGAGTCCAGCGAGAACAGCCTGGCCATGACCCCCCGCCTGCCCCCGCCCAAGCCTGGTCTTGCCATCTTCCAGGTGAGCCCCCAGCGCCCGAGGGACAGGAGGGACATGGGGGCCAGGTGTCCTAAAGCACCCCAGGGAGGCACTGCTGGGCCCAGGGTGGGAGTCTCAGGGCATTGCTGGAAGTAGAGACAGGAGGTCCTGGGGTGCAGGGGCCCCTCCTGGTCCCCACTCTCGTGCAGCCCCCCTGAGTGTGCTCTGCCTTGCAGCCCCCCGCGGGGGCCCTGCCCCGGCCGGTGCTCCCCAGCCATGCCGTGGGCCCCAGCTCTGCCCTGCCCGGGGACACCTACAACTCCACCGTGGACACCAGCTTCACAGAGGCCAGCCCGTCCGCCTCCTCCGACTCCGGGGAGGGGCCCTCGGTGAGTGCTGGGGCGGGGGCCGGGACTGGCCGGGGGAAGGGGCTCCCAGCCCGCACAGCCCCAAGGG